AGTAGTAGTAGCACTTTAAGGAGTAGTACAGTAGTAGTAGTAGTAGTAGTAGTAGTAGTAGTAGTAGTAGTAGTCGTAGTAGTAGTAGTAGTCTTAGTAGTAGTAGTAGTAGTAGTAGTAGTAGTAGTAGTAGTAGTAGTAGTAGTAGTAGTAGTAGTAGTAGTAGTAGTAGTAGTAGTGGTGGTAGTAGTAGTAGTAGTAGTAGTAGCAATCGTAGTAGTAACGTTGTTGTTGGTGTTGTTGTTGCTGCCGCTGCTGCCGCTGCTGTTGCTTTCTGTTGTTGTTGTTGTTGTTGCTGTTGTTGTGGGCGCCGTTTTTGCTACTGCTTCAAGTCTGGGCTCGGCCCGTGGCCCACCTGCCCGGGTACTTCTGGTCCGCTTCCCACTGCGCTTGCCGAGCGGTCTTTTTAGGCCTCGCAGGTGCCTCCTGCCTGGCGCTCACCTCCCCCCTTCCCCGCGGGGGGGAAGGCACATTTCTGAGGCACCGGGCAGCACTTCCCGACTCCGCAATCGGCCGGTCGGCCAGTCGGGGAGTCAGCCATTCGGCCAGTCAGAATCGGCCAGGGGCGGGGTGGGGGTGTCGAGCAATGAATCCCGGTTCCCAAAAAGTTCCCCTCCCCCAGGGCTGTCTGCCCCCGCCGCTCGCCCTGGAGCCTGGCTCTTCCGCAGCATCCACGGCAGGCTGCCTCGGTCGGTGCGCGCGCCCCCGGCGGTGGCCCGGGGGGAAAGGGAGGAGGAGGAGGGAGCAGGAGGAGGAGGAGGAGGGGGAGGAGGAGGAGGAGGAGAGGAACGAGGAGGAGGAACGAGGAGAAGGAGGAGGAGGAGGAGGAGGAGGAGGAGAGGATGAACGAGGAGGAGGAGGAGGAACGAGGAGGAGGAGGAGGAGGAGGAGGAGGAGGAGGAGGATGAGGAGGAATGAGGAGGAGGAATGAGGAGGAGGAACGAGGAGGAGGAGGAGGAACGAGGAGGAGGAGGAGGAGGATGATGAGGAGGAGGAGGAGGAGCGAGGAGGAGGAACGAGGAGGAGGAGGAGGAGGAGGAGGGACCGACGCCCAAACCTACTCCCAACCCGACGCCCTTCCCGACGCCCAAATGGACGCCCAGCCCCGCGCCCTCCCCGACGCCTCCACCGACGCCCCTCCCGACGACTTTTCCGACGCCCCTCCCGACGCCCTTCCCGAAGCCCAACCCGCGACGCCCTCTCCGACGCCGTTCCCGACTCCCAGCCTGACGCCCATCCCGACACCCTTCCCGACGTCCAAACCGACGCCCATCCCGACACCCTTTCCGACGCCCTTCCTTACGCCCAGCCCCACGCACAGCAGGCACCCAACACTCAGCCTTACCGAGCTCACGAGCAGCACCACCACCCACGCCACCAAAACCATTGCCGCCACCAGGACTGTGCGCCAGTCCCAGAGTCCGAGTTCTCAGCAGAGGGACCTCTACCAGCGGAAGCAGACCCAGCGCCAGCGCCGACGCCAGCTGAACCAGCACCAGCACCGGAGTCGACACCAGCACCAGCACTAGAGCCGACACAGGCGACGCCAGCGCCACACCTCAAACCAGGTACAAGACGACCCTGGCTTCCGAGCCTTGCCGCACTACTGGCGACACCACCACGCAACGCACCTTCTAGGGTGCAACGCCACTACGACCTCCAGCGCCCTTGGTCCTCACCGACTGGCACCGCCCCTGAGGCAACGCAACCCGCCGATGGCGGCACTCGGCCACAACTGCCTCAACCCCCCCTGCTCCTCTTCTTCGGCTACGCACCCACGACGTTGGCGGCGACACCTGTCCGAGGCCTGCGGCCCCCGCCTCCGCCGCGGGCGCATGGCCTGCGGCAACCCCTGCCCGCGTCCCCGAGCAGAGACCTGGCCACTCTCCCCCCCTCCCAAACCCCGACGCCCTTCCCACCCACCTCTACGACCACCACCCACCCACCTCTACGACCACCACCACTCCCGACGCAGTATGCCTGAAAACGACATCCACCACAACAATATCATGTATGGGTATACTACTGCGTCGACCGGAACGCCGGGGCCGGAGGGGCAGGGATCAGCTTGGGATGCATGGAGGATGATGGGAGTGAGATTAGGGGATGGTTCGGGGTGGACGACCAAAGTTATCATCCCCGAGGCCCCTGGAGGGGGCGCAGGGGCAGGATGGGTGGCTGCAGGATGAACCTTCGTGTGCCATGAGAGTGAGTGAGGGGAGGAGGGAGCAGGAGGAGGAAGAGACCATGGATGATGGCGAGGAGGACGAGAACGAGAAGGAGCAAGCCATAGAGCGGCGAAGCATCCGAAACTGCGACGGCGAGTGTGCAAGTGGGGGCGAGCGTGAGGAACCACCAACGCTCAAAAGAAACCCGACAACTTCGGCATCCCACCGGAACGCCTGATGCCGGACGACTGCCGGCGGCGAGCCGGCCCTGGCCCGCCGACGGGCAGGGAGGGTCTCCGGGGGAGTGGTCGCGCACGGGGCCCCGAGGGCAGCAACCTTGGGAGGCCCAGGGGCGACGCGGGCCCCACGGAGGCCACGGCACAGGCAGGGCCCATCGCGGTGGACGCGGTGCCCGTCACACTGGAAGAGGTGCCCTCCCTCCTCCGCCTCCGTCGCGGCAGCAGCAGCAGCAGCAGCAGCAGGAGCAGCAGCAGCAGGGGCAGCCTCCCCCCCTCCCCCTCGACGTGCTGGCGCCAGCCTAGGCGCTCCGTGGCGGCAGCCAACTGGCGCAGCATCGGCCCAGGCTCACACCGCGCCCCGGGTTTCAGGAGCGATTTGCAACTGGCTGGGGTCCTCGCAACGGCCAAACGGCGCTTGCACGGAACGGCAGAGGACCCAGGGACCAGGGGCACGGTCCCGTGAGCAACTACCACCAACAGCGGCCCACGGGGCTGAGGAGCCGGGGGAGCGCATGGATAGCAGCAGCAGCTTGTTTGTTTCGTCCTTCCTTCCTTTCTTCCTTCCTTCCTCACTTCCGTCGTCGTCGTCGTCGTCGTCGTCGTCGTCGTCGTCGTCGTCGTCGTCGTCGTCGTCGTCCCCCCCCCCCACGACCTACCCCGCGCCCGTTGCGGGGTGCTACGTTTTTGAAACTTCTGCAGCCACACTGTGAAAAGCTGGGCACGAGCTCGGATCAACAAAAGTGCGTACAAGCTGCCCGCTCCGCTTCTCGACGCAAGGCGGTGCAACCTATAGTGCCACGGCACACTCCTGCGGTGAGCGGGACTGTAAAATGACCACAACCACTGCTTCTTGTTTGCGCCGCCTTCCATCCGGCCGAAAAAGAAGCAGTGGTTGTGGTCATTTCCCTGGTGCCAAGCTCAACGAAAATGACCACAACCACTGCTTTGTTTCTGCGGGCTGGAAGACGACAACAAAAGAAAAGCAGTTGCTGTGGTCGTTTTCACGCCCCGTAGGTGAGCGGGAGCTGACCTACTCAACGTGGAATGGGCGCCCGCATCTCCGCCCCGCTCAAACGAGCCCGGACGCTCCCCCGCCCATACTTCCCACACAAGACTGTAACGTCCGCGCTCCGTGCTACCACCCGCTGCGATGCGACACTTCTGGCAAACCTGTCGCGGAATTGTCACTGGGAACCGAAGAGCATACCAAGCCAGTGGCAACAGCAGCTATTGCGCAAATGTTTCGGAAGGGGGGTGGAGCGGAGCGGCTTAGGCAGGAGCTCGTAACGACCACTGGCGGTAACTGGAAGTGTTGCCTCACTTTGTCCTCGGCTGGCCTGGTCGCAGGCGCGGCGCGGGTGTTTCGGCCCGAACCAGCCATTGACATGTTGTCACACGCGCGCGCACACACTTTTGGTCAGCAGCGAAGGCGAGCGCCAATGCGGTCGAACGCCCGCGCATTTCTCTCGCGGGCGTGGCCTCGCGCGCGGCGATGAAGCAGGGAAAGTAAGTCGGAGCGAACTGGCAACGCGCGCGGCCGGCCCTTCAGAAGAAGGGCAGGGATCCACAATGGATCAACCGTGCCATGCGCATGCCTGGGCATGTGCAGCGACAGTGGGGAGCAGCCAGCAGTGACCTGGGGGCGAACGTGGAAGCGCAGTCCAGGCGGCCACGACGATGTGAGGTCAAGGGAGGACAAAAAAGGACACAAGCAGGACGCCGGCTGGAGGAATGCAAGTTGGGCAGGACGTGGGCGATGCGAGTGCGCAAGCAGGCTGGAGACGGCGACCGACGAGGGGAACGGCAGACCGACGCAGAGGAAGCCGATCGAGGACGCGAGGAGCAGAACGAGGCGGCGAGCACCCCGACCGACCAGAGGGGGGCCGGCCGGGAAGCCGAGGCTGCGGGTCGCAGCCTTCGGCGTTCGTCCACCCATTCGCGGCGAAGTCGTCGCCGTCGTCGTCGTCGTCGTCGACGTCGTCGCCGTCGTCGTCGTCGTCGTCGTCGTCGCCGTCGTCGTCGTCGCCGTCGTCGTCGTCGTCGTCGTCGTCGTCGTCGTCGTCGTCGTCGTCGTCGTCGTCGTCGTCGTCGTCGTCGTCCGCCCTCGGTCGGGGGGGAGGCCGGGCGGCGGCGCAGAGGCGGGCGCCCTGTGCGCGGATGGAGCGCGGCGTCCCCATGGTGCCCATCTCCGCGTCCAGGGCGGCGTGCCTGTGGGCGGGCGCCGGGCGGGCGACGGTGGCGCTTGGGCAACGCCACGCCTGCCACCCACGACTCTCGAGGAGAAAGAGGAGGAGGAGGAGGAGGGGGAGGAGAGGGGAGGAGGAGGAGGTGGGAGGGGGAGGAGGAGGAGGGGCGGAGAGGAGGAGGAGGAGGAGAGGAGGAGGAGGAGGAGGAGGGAGGAGAGGGAGGGAGGAGGAGGGGAGGAGGTAGGAGGGGATGGAGAGGGAGGAGGGAGGTAGGAGAGGAGGAGGAGGAGGAGGAGGAGGAGGAGGAGGAGGCAGGAGGAGGAGGAGGAGGAGAGGAGGAGGAGGAGAGGAGGAGGAGGAGGTGAGGAGGAGGAGGAGGAGGAGGCGGGAGGGAGAGGAGGAGGAGGAGGAGGAGGAGGAGGAGGAGGAGGAGGAGGAGGAGGAGGAGGAGGAGGAGGAGGAGGAGGAGGAGGAGGAGGAGGAGGAAGGCGCAGCCCCCAAGAGGCACCCAGGACGGCCCAAGAAATTCTGAAACCTGCCAGGGTGGCCCCCGAGCTCCCAGGAGGCCCCGAGAGGCCTCGAGGAGACCCCGCGGGACATCCCGCGCGACTCTGAGAAGCATCCAAGAAGCCACTGGCCTGGGCAGCTCCCCTGGGCATCGTTCTTGGATGGGCTGGTGGAGATACTTTTTTACAGTTTTTTTTTTTTTTTTTTTTTTGTTTTTTGTTTTGTTTTGTTTTGTTTTTTTAACAGCCGCAGGCGGAAGCGCCAGCGGCGGAAGGTCGCGAACGGGCCGCGGACGCGACTAAATTACCTAACGCGCGCAGGGCCGCGGATCAGGCGGCTCACGACAGCGTCCAGGGAAGACGTTGCAGTCCAGGTGCGGCTGGTGGAGATACGCGAAGCGTTGAGAATCTGTCCTTCGACTCCAGCCCTGGCGACCCCACTCGCCGCTTGCCATCGCTCGGACATCCATTCCGCGCATTTTTCGGTCTCGTGCGTGCTTGTCTGCAGGATGGTCCAGGATGCTCTTCGAGGGCCCACGCCGAGAAAAATCCACGCGTCCGAGCGATGCCCAGGCCCGGGGCCGCTGAGGGCTGTGCCGAGGGCCGCCGAGGGCCGCCGGGGAGGTCCCCCGAGGGCCGCCGAGGAGTCCGCCGCAGGCGCCGCGGGCCGCGCCCGCCCGTGGGCGGCCGGCGGAGGGCGCCCGAGCCCCGCAGCCGGGCGGCGCGCCTCGCTTGGAGCCCGGCCTCCTCCACGCGGGCGGCGAGCACGCGCTGTGACTGCTCGAGCTCGGCGTTGCTGCGGACGCGCTCCTGGCGCCACTGGCTGTCGTCGTCGTCGTCGTCGTCGTCGTCGTCGTCGTCGTCGTCGTCGTCTCGAGCCGCACAGGCGGAGCCCACCGGGAAGCGGAGCGAAGCGAGCGCGGGAGTCGTGCGCGCTCCTCGGGGGAGCCCGCCCGGGACCGCGAGGGCATGGCGCGGAGGCCGTGGCCTCGGGAGGTTGAAAGGCGGGCGGACTCAGACTGCGAAGCCAGGAGGTGGAGGTGGAGGCGGAGGGCGGAGGTCAGGATGAGGTAGAGACAGAGGAGGCAGAGGTGGAGGGCGAACGTTATGACGAGGTGGAGGAGGGTGAGGACGCAAAGAGGGACGGTGCAGAGGAGGGTGAGGAGGACAAAGAAAGACTCGTGGAGGTGATGGGGGTGGCGGAGGTTGAAGGGGGGCCCTGGTCCAGGTGACGTGGTTTTCTTGTACTACCCTCTAGGGCCGCAGCACGATCAGCGATTTCTCCTTCAAATCCCATCCCTGTATTCGTAATTCATCTTGTATAGTTGATCGCTTTGATTGGCTATTTGAACTGTTTTGCTGTAGCCCCATCTGTGGCCTTTGCATGTTCGGGGTGCGCGCAACGAAGGCGACGGTAAGAGTACAACATCGGGACGAGACATGTCGGAAGACTCTTAGAGCTAGCGGATCTGGGGGATGCATCGGGCGCCCGCGGCAGTCTCGGAGTGCTCCAAACCGCTCTGGGGCCGCAGTGGAACGATCTACCCTCTTCCTGCGCCTGCCTGAGCCTTGGGACGACTTGTCTTCTTTCTGTGCCTGGGCATTTCCGGGGCCTCTGGGACGATTCATCTTCTTCCTGGGCTTCCTCTGGAACTGTTTTCCCGCACGCGGGAATCCCTCGGACCAGGCCGCTTGGTTCGTTGGCTCGCGCGCTTGCCGTGAATGTCATGAAGCAAATGAAACGATCAGCCATAGCAGACTCCAAATCGATCATCCGACTGACAAGAAGTGGACTGGAGTGGACTGAAGTAGACTGGACTCGACTGGGGGCTCTACTCTATTCTACTCTGCTCTGCTCTACTCTGTTATACCCGACTCTACTCTACCATCTACCCTGCTGTGTTCTATTGTGCTTCCTTTCATTAAACAATCAAGCTCTACTCTATACAAATCCCCTGCGATCGTATGCTATACCTGTACATCTCCTATGATTTCCCAGAAGGGCCCACTCGGAAACATGTACGATTCCGGTGAAAACCCGCAGGGGCCCGATACACTCCTATGATATCCTATATGGGTCGTATAGGAATCCAATGCGATTCCTATGTGGTCCTCTGGGCATCCTCTAAGATGCCTGTGGCATCCTGCAGGGGGCCTATGAGTTCCTTCTGAGATTCTATATACAGCAGGTCAGAGTCGTACGGGTTCCACTGGACCCCTTGTACGACCTATGCGATTCTATAGGGGACCGACACGAATTCTGTGATACCATGGAGGGGTAGTATAGGATTCCTATGAGGTCGTAAAATGATCCCATGCAATGTCATAGAGTGCCTGTAGGAGTCCTACACGCTACTATGCGACTCTTGTGAGATCCGATGGGCATCCTGTGCGACTCCTGTGCGATCCTAGATGCATCCTTTGCGATTCCTGTGAGATCCGATCGGCATCCTGTACAACTCCTGCGAAACCGTGTCGGGACCCTGCAGGACTTTAGTGCGTCTCCTGTGTGGCCCTACAGGGATCCCATCGGATTCCGGTACGATGCGCATGAGATCCCACTGGGTTCCGAGAAGACTCCTGAGAGTTCCGATCGGAGTCCCAGACAGTTCTACAATATTTTTAGACGATTCCCATGGCATCCTGTAGGAATCGCTTGGGACTAACAGAGGAAACCATTTGAATCGAGACGACGCACTGGCAAGTTCGAGGGGGGGCAGTGGACCAATTCTCCACGCACTGGACTAGGCCTCCAGTAGGCAAGCCTGTTTGGATAACGTTGTCAGATCTGCCCCCCGTAACGATGAAAGACCACCAAAACGGCATAAGAAACACGTTTCGGTGGTCCACGCGGAACGCCCCCCGCCCAGCGCAGATCCAAGGAATCAGCGAAGACCTCGCACGTAGCAAGGGCTTTCTCTGGAACGGCTTGCCTTATGCCTGGGCCCGCCCGAGCAACTGCGCCCTGCTGGCACGAGCCAGCCAGAACCAAGAACGTTGTACCCAGACATGCGAGGTCCTGATTTTTTCATTACGGGGTCCCCAGAAGTCTTGACCCATTCCCCAGGACCCTTGTCTCATCCCGAGTCCTTTTTTGACGGTCCTGGGGACCAGTAAGGGCCCCTGGAGGCCCAAGACGGCCAAAAACCTTCCGCCGTGATCTCTGTTCTAACGACGCGAGCAGATCGGGTCCACAATCCCAAGCGACAGCCTGGGCCCTCTCTGGAGCGACCGGCCTTCTCCCTGGGCCTGCCTGGGCGAGGTTTGAGTCCAGTGGCTGAGGGGGAGAGACCGAGGCGCAGACGGGAGGAGGGATGATTGAAGGGGCCCAAGGCCATACAATCAAATGCACACAAAGAACAGGATTCCCTATAGTTTCCAACACTTTCTGGGTTTTTGCCTTCCCCCCCACTTCCCATGATCTTCCCATATTTTCTGGGGAATCGACGATTCATTGATTGTGTCTGTGTGTCTTTTCCCTCCTGGATTATGGCTCACCGTTCGGAGCCACTCCATCGGCCGAGCGCCAAGAGTCCAACGGCGGCGCCTCCAGCTGCCCAGGCACCCGGCCGCTCCAGTTTGCTCGGTGCGTGGGCCCTGGAGGTCTGGACAACCTCCCCGGGGCCGGCTTTTCGTCCCGAACCGTTTCTTGACGCTGCCGAGGCCTGGCGGGGGCTCCCAGAGCCTGAAGACGGCCAAAAACCCGCCGCTCCAATGCTTGGTGTGTCGCCGCCTCCTCCTCCTCCTCATCCTCCTCCTCCTCGTCCTCCTCCTCGTCCTCCTCCTCCTCGTCCTCCTCCTCCGTCCTCCTCCTCCTTCTCCTCCTCTCTCTCCTCCTCCATCTCCCTCCTCCTCTCCTCCTCCTCCTCCTCTTCCTCCCATTCCTCCTCCTCCACCTCCTCCTCCTCCTCCTCCTCCTCCTCCCCTCTCCTCCCCCTCCTCCTCCTCCTCCTCCTCCTCCTCTCCTCCTCCTCCTCCTCCTCCTCGTCCTCGTCCTCCTCCTCCTCCTCCTCCTCCTCCTCCTCCTCCTCCTCCTCCTCCTCCTCCTCCTCTGGGCCGGTCCTTGGGGGGAGGCCGCAGGGTCCGGGGCCCATCTCCCACGGGCCCCGTTCCCCACCCGCTAAGCTCGGTGGCGGGCGAGGGGGGGGAAGCGAGAAGGAGAGGGCCTCTCAAAGGCGGCGGGGCTTCTATAGGGGAACAAAAAACGGCATAAACATAAGAGCTCGGAGGTCCGCGCGGGTTTCTCGCATCGGCGCTGGACCCCCCTCCCTGGCGCGCGGAGCGCGCCAGGGGCGGCGCCAGAGGCGCCGCCGGGGGGCCCCAGCGCCGATCCGAGAAACCCGCGCGGACCTCCGAGTGTTTCTGTTTATGCCACTTTTTGTTCCCCTATTCTCAGAAGTCCTCGCGCCCTCTGAGAAGCATGTCTCTGTCTTCGGGGAAACCTTGGGAAACTTCTCAGACGGCCAGGGTACTTCCAAGCCTTCTGAGAAGGCCCGCCCCTTCTCACTGCCCCCTCCCGCGGGCCGCCGCTAAACTGCGCGCGAGGCCCTCTGGGCTTCGCGGGGGTCTCGCGGGTCCTCCCTGCCCTTGGGCGGCCTTTGGACCTCCAGGACATCTCGCGGCCCTCGTTTCTGCAGCCCGTGCGGAGCACGGAATCTCGGGAGCCCTGGAAGCCTGGGACGCACCACTCTCATGACCACTTGCCCCCCCTCTGACTGCCAGCCCCAGAGCACGGCGCCAGCTGATGCGACACGACCTCACGCGCCCAGGCAGCAGCCGCGCAATCCCCGCCGCACGGGCGAGCGCCCCTCCCGCGCGCACGCGGGGGGCTTACCAGGCGCGCGCGCGGCGAGCCTCGTGCCGTCGAGGCCGCGGCTGTGGCCCCCCGCTGGCGCCCCTCGGGCCACCCACGGCCCCGGGAGCCTTGGACCCTGTCGGACTACCTACCAGACCACCCCAAGCCAACCCGAAGACCCGAATCTCGGGTTTGGGGGGGGGTAAGGGTTCCACATGTGTTTTTCTCGATGTTTCCCGACCCCCCCCCCACTGGAAATCGAGGGTAAATCTGAGCCCTCGGGTTGGGTTGGGGTGGTTTAGTGGGTGGTGACTGCCCCGCCCTGATCACCTCTACGTCTGGGCCCACCTGCCACTTCCATTAACTGATGATTGTAGGGACGCGCGATGCAGATGCAAGGGCCTCGGACGCCCATGTCGAGGCTCTTCGAGCGGGGCTGGCCACCGAAAGGGGCCAGTGATGGACCGAGGAGGCAAGGATGCAAGGGTACCCTTGGGAAGATCACCCGTACCAGCTGTCGATTTCGACTCCGTATGCTGACATGTGGTTTTTCGGACAGAATAGCTCGCCCCCACAGAGACCCCTCCTTTACGTCCAATCACCTCCCCGCCCAATCCACATCCGCCCCCCCCCTCTCCCGCCGGAGGGGCCACGACAAAGGGGGACTCCAGCCCAGGGGGGTGAAGCATCGAGCTGGAACCGGCGAGGCATCCTTGATTTACCCTTGGGGAAGGTTACCCGTCCTTCCTGCCGATTTCGACTGCAACTCCTCGACTCCGCTCCTCCGCCGAGGAGGACGCTGGCGGCGGCACGGCGGGCAACCGGCTCGACTGCAGCTGGAAACGCAGTCCAAGTCAACCGCGCCCAGACACGCACGGAAGCGCGCGCGCACCCCCCAGCAGCAGGTGGAGGAGGAGGAGGAAGATGAGGAGGAGGGGGAGGAAGAGGATGAGGAGGAACATGATGATGATGGTGCTACTGGTGATGATGATGCTGATGATGAAGCTGAAGATGAATATGATACCGATGCTGACTGTGATGATGATGATGATGATGATGGTGATGATGCTGATGATGAAGATGATGATAAAGATGAAGATGAATATGAAGATGATGAGCGATGCTGGTGCTGATGATGACGATAACGATGATGATGGTGCTGATAAGGATGATGGTGCTGATGATGGTGATACTGATGATGCTGCTGGTGATGACGATGATGTGAAGATGATGTGATGCTGATGATGCTGATGGTGATGACGATGCTGCTGATGATGATGGTGATGATGATGATGATGATGATGATGATGATGGCGATGACGATGCTGCTGATCAGTATGATGAAGGGGATGCTGCTGATGATGCTGATGATGCTGATGATGTTGTCGATGATGCTGTTGTCGATGATGCTGATGTTGTTGATGGTGATGAGGACGACGAGGATGTTGTTGTTGTTGTTGTTGTTGTTGTTGTTGTGGATGATGATGCTGCTGATGCTGATGATGCTGATGATGATGATGCTGATGATGATGATGATGATGATGATGATGATGATGATGATGCTGTTGATGATGATGACCAGGAGGAGGAGGAGGAGGAGGATGAGGAGGAGGAGGAGGAGGAGGAGGAGGGAGGAGGAGGAGTGGAGGATGAGGAGTAGAGGAGGAGGAGAGGGAGGAGGAGAGGGAGGGGGGAGGTAGGAGAGGAGGAGGAGGAGGAGGAGGAAGGAGGAGGAGGAGGAGAAGGAGGACGGAGGAGGAGAGGAGGAGGGGAGTGAATAAGGAGGAGAGGAGGGTGGGAGGGAGGAGGAGGGGAGGGAGGCAGAGGGCGGGGAGAGGAGGGAGGGAGGGGGAGGGAGGGAGGGAGGGAGGGAGGGAGGGAGAGAAGGAGGGAGGGAGGGCGGGAGGGAGGGAGAGAAGGAGGGAGGAGGACGAGGAGGAGGGGGCATCCTCGAGCTTGAGCTGCTGGAACTCCAGGTCCAGCTGCCGATGGCGCACCTGCCGCGCGCACAGCCCCCCCGCGCCCAGGCCTCTCGGGGGGCCGCCCTCCCGCGCGGGGGATGCGGACGGCTCCAGGGAAGCGCTGTCGTCGTCGTCGTCGTCGTCGTCGTCGTCGTCGTCGTCGTCGTCGTCCTCGTCGTCGTCCTCGTCCTCGTCCTCGTCGTCGTCGTCCTCGTCCTCGTCCTCGTCGTCGTCGTCGTCCTCGTCCTCGTCCTCGTCGTCGTCGTTTTCGTCGTCTTCGTCGTCGTCGCTCCCGAGGCACATGGGGGCAGCCCCCATCGCTGTCCCTCATGTGCCTGGGGGACCGTCTCACGAACGGTCCCTGGACTTCATGGCGCTCCTCGGCACCTTCAAGGTCTCCCACCTCACCTCAAGCTGCTGGCCCTGCTGCATGGACGCAGGCCGCATGTGCAGCCGGCATGCCTCCCTCGGCACTCCCACGATCCCCAGGCACATGGGGGGCATCCCCTATCTCAGACGAAGCCAGGACGAGGATAACATCGGGTGATCATAGATCACGAAGCTCACATATCTGGCGGCTCTGGAGGATGTATCGGGCGCCGCAGCCCTCTCAGAGCGTTGTTCCAGAACGCCCTCGAACGAGTT